TGTAGATGCTGGCTTATTCCCACTTACTGTGCAGTAAATTTAAGCCAGCGTAAATGCACGTGTAGACATGCCCAGTATGTCCCAAACACAACCCACCCATCTGCTCCTGGTCACATCTTGTGATGCTGCTTCACAGTTATCCCTAGCAGCCACTCTCAAGTAAAGCAGAGAGACAAAAGTGTCAAAATCAGCTACAGAGGCACATCACAGGGGTTTGCTCAGGAGAATCTCGGCCGAGCACATTGTACTATATGTGCTCTAAGCAGGGTGGCCTCACACTGAACATTCAGCTCAGTTCAAAAATGTTAATGGTGGGAGTAGGGTGGGTAGAAGCACTCTTCACTCCTCCTGTTGAAGAAGCTGTGCAACTGGAGAACCAAAAATGCAAGTGTCATAGGGCCAAAAGGTAGGCAAGCATGATGGAACATGTCCTTGCACCTTAGTGATTAAGGCACTTCCATAACCACAGTCAGTGGGACACTACATGTCCTGAATTCCAGTCCCTACTGCCAGGGGTATTTCTCTTCTTTAATGATGGCTATTCGATGTAAAGGGCATAGAAGTGTATTGAAGCTAGGACTAAAATGCATCCTCTCAGGCTCTAGAGGCACGCTCTTGTTTGCTTCCAGGGCTCTATGAATTTAACATTAAATAGTTATTGGTTCTTCCAAGGGAGTGCCGTACAGAGGCATGTCTCCTTTTGCATCGTTTCCCTGTAGCCCTGTTAGAACACCTAAATGGAGACAATTCCAAGACCAAATAAATGCTGTCTCTCAAGTTTGCCTACACAAGAGGTTTTATCTTAAGTAACTGAAGTAAATTCATGGTTACAAGGAAATACCATATTTGCAAAGGTTGGGGTGGACAATCCATATGTTTACTCCAGGACACAAGCATTTGTAAGTTTTATAGTTAGACTCTGTTCTGGACCAAACATTTAAACTGTGTCTAGTCATTACAAATGTTTTTGGCTTCAGGTTAATTGGCAATGAATTAGTCAAGCTAAAGGACTTTAATGGAGATAAACCCTCTGAACTTGATAAAATTTCCAATTAATACCCACTCAACTCAACTGGGTCCTTACACTAAAACTACTTTGGAGGAAGAATTATCTTTTGTGTGTTGTTTAGCATCAAGCACAGTGGAAAGCAAGTAATTAATTGTTGGTGTTAACCAACCAAACAAATAATAAATAGGAATTGTTCTTTTTTATACATTTTAAGAAACAAGATCTTAATCAATGGTAAATTAATATTCTGATGATGAGAGACATATTTCCTGGACCATTGCAGCTATAACAGCACTCCAGCTATACTGATGATAGCATAATCATTTTTTTTAGGAGACTTCTGTAGAATTTCCACATAATAAGGTAGCATAAGTTCCCAGTGTACTGCATGGACTAGTATTGCATCAGCTACACTTTCAATCCAGGCTGAAATGTCACTAAATTCTATACCTTCTTTTTGCTGTTTTATTTTGATTGCCAGTAGGAGAGAGAGTTTATAAATGATTTGAAATGACACTCCTTGGTATGTTATTTCCAGTCTCCCGTATTTAAACAAAATGTTGATAAACAGTTTGCTCCAGATACTCAGCCAGTCAGTGCAGTCTTCCAGAATTCAGTGGAGCAAACACTAGTTAGAGTTATGACCCTACAGACTGAAAACCTCCACACTTATTTGCATGTTTATGGAGAAGAGCAGCAAAGATCTGACAATAACACCTCTTCTGGTACACGCAGCCCCAACTTGCCACAGAAATAACTGTGAAAACTTTAGTGTTGCCATAGATGGAGGCTGCTGGTGAATTTTTTTAATGACAACTCACCATAGCTGCCATATGATATTTTGACGCACATTTTTCAAATCACAAAACCACAGTACGATTGCCAGATTCAGTCCAACCTGGATACACTGCTATGAAGGCTGCCCCACACATATCAAGTCCAGGGAAAGGGGCAATGTAGCCACCCTACAGCAGTGCTGGGCACATACCCCACTGCTGCTTTACAGTGCTCTGTCTTGGGTGTGTATAATAGCACATGATTGGCACCACTCTAAGGCAGCTGCAGTGCCCCACATTGGGATTTAGCAGACATAGAGTGGGCCCAAGTGGGAAAGACTTGCTTCACAGGAGTGAGCAGTCACAGAGTAGAGAGACCCAAGGCTGAAGGATAACCTTACTGGGCACATCTACATGAGATGCTTAACTTTGCATTACCACAGTTTACTGTGAAGTAATCATGTGTGTCTACATGTGCCCATACTTACTCTCCAGTAAACCTCCCTAATCCTGAGTAAATTTGCTACCTCCAAATGCAAACAGCAAATTTACTCAAGATTAGTAATAGCACCATAACACTTGTGTAGATGCCTGACTGGAGCAAAATCTGCTCCCAGTCAGCTGCTCACCAGGGGGCAGGAGATAGCCCCCTGCCCCTGGAAGCTACCTGTCCTGTTTCAGGTAGTTCTTAGCCAGCTCCAGGCTGCACATGTCAACTTTCCCATGCAGCCCAGAGCTGCCTGGGAACTGTCTCAGGTGATTGAGGCACAGGGCTTGGAAAGAGCTGCAGGGGTGGGGTAGATCCCAGCCTCCTGCTCCAATCCATCGGTGGGGCAGCTACCAGTGAGACGGATGCTAGCTGTCCCACCAACAGATTAGGGCAGGGGGCTGGGGCCTGCCCCTCCCCTACAACCCTTTCCAAGCCCTACGCCCCTGATCAGGAAGCCAGGGCCAGGAGCTCTCTGCTACTGGGGCAGAGGGACATTGTCCCTGTCCCAGCAGCAGGCACCGCCCCTGGGCCAGGAAACAACTGTCTCCTGGGCTGGTGCTCTCTGCCAGCCCCTGGGCTAGCACCCAGGGGGAACCTGGAGCTCCTTCCGGTGGCAGCAGGGGTCCATTGCAGGGCTGCAGGGAACTAGGTGCAAATTTGCTCCCTAATATGGGCTAGCACCCAGGGGGAACCTGGAGCTCCTTCCGGTGGCAGCAGGGGTCCATTGCAGGGCTGCAGGGAACTAGGTGCAAATTTGCTCCCTAATATCTGCATGTGTAGACACACACACTGAGGCCCTCCAATATGGAAATGGCTCTTAGGCCTGTGCAAGTAGGCAGCTATTTCATAGATTTCATAGATTTCATAGACATCAGGGTTGGAAGGGACCTCGGAAGATCATCCCGCCCAAAGGGCAGGAAGTCAGCTGGGTTCATAGGATCCCAGCAAGATAAGCATCCAGTTTCATCTTGAAGGTGTTCAATGAAGGCGCTTGAACCACCTCCGGTGGCAGGCTGTTCCAGACCTTGGGGGCTTGGACAGTAAAGAAGTTCTTCCTTATGTCCAGCCTGAAACGATCTTGAAGTAGTTTGTGACCATTCGACCTCGTCATCCCTTGGGGCGCTCTGGTGAACAAACGTTCCCCCAGATGCTGGTGGTCACCCCTGATAAACTTGTAGGTGGCCATCAGATCACCCCTGAGCCTGCACTTTTTCAGGCTAAAGAGATTTGATCCGGCTTTGGATCCGGCCGCTTCGGATGCCAGAGATCCGATCTAGAGCTCCGGACCAGGTTCCTGCTTCGATCCAGCCAAAGCGGCTCTGAAGCTTTGGAGCCGCCTCGGAGATCCAGCCATAAGGTATAATGGGGAATCAATGAAATATCTATAACTTTGTTGTTTGTTGTCTGATTTGGACGAAACTTGCAGGGGTGATAGCCTCTGCCGAGAGCATGAAGCCTACCAAGTTTCAAGAAGATATCTAATTCTCCATTATACTCTATGGCTGACTCACCAAATCAGCTCTGAATCTTTTCTGAAGTCTTTTGGAGGCTCCGAATCGATTCAGAAAGCCTAAAGCTTCCAATGATTCCATTTGGATTCATAGATTCAGCCTCCGAATCATCTCCGAATCCGAATCATGATCTGAAGCTTTGCACAGCCCTAATAGCTCTGCTTTTAACACTAAGGACTCAAGAGCAAAGTATCAGAAACAGTGCTAACTGCTAACTAGAAAGAAGCAAAGTAGACCATTTTCTGGCTTTCCTGTCTATACACCCTGAACCAAAAGAGCATACCAATATCCCTTCTGGCAACCCAATGAGGGGGCTAGACCCGATGATCTGTAAGGTCGCTTCCAGCCCCTAACAGCTATGAAACTGTGAAATGTAGAATTCAAATGGTATATAGAATATGCCCCCTGCCTTGCTTCTATAGTGGTTGTACAGATTTTGTGGCTTCCCCAGCAGTAATATCTTTTGGAGGCCAATAGCAAGATGAATCAAGTCTTTTCCTAAACAAGGTGAGCTATATTGTGTTTTCAAGGGCTGACCCTTATATTGGATCCCCTGCCTCCCTCTACCAACATGAGGAACATCTCCTGGATTACTTGCTTAAGCTGCATTACAATCTTTTTTGAGGAATCATGAGGTTAGTCATCCTATAACTTTGGGAGAGTCCCATAAGTCTTCCCCATGTCTGTTTCCCCCTCTGTAAAATGATGATCACAACCAACCAAATGCACTGATTTTTATATCCAAATGCTTATAACATAATGTAAAATTAAATTTTTACTTAACATAGAAATATACATGAAATAATATTGAATGATGCAGTTTGTGAATTTAAAAATAGAGAATGCTCAGTTGCTCCTTCTGGCTGATTTACCTAGAACTGATTAAATTAGTAACAGAATTCAATATCATGATGTGGTTATTTCTGCTTTTTTTGGAAAATAAATGTGTTAGACTTCAGTGTGCAATTGCTATTCTTTGGTATTTGTGTCAAGTATCTTTACAATTCTATGGACTCTCCTATCTGCATTGATAGGCCGCTGTTTTGCATTTGGTTTCATTAACTGTCATAAAAGAAAGGGGAATTTACTTTTTTCCATTATTGTTTTCTTAATCTGAAATAAATATCAATCTGGCTAAGAATGTGTTTGCTCTTTATATACAGAAAAAATTGACACCAGATGATTCTGGTTTTGTGTTAACGGTGTTTACTCACAGATCTGTCACACTCTGGTCCATAGATTCTACTTCAGTTTGACTTTCATTGAGGGCAGAATCAGAATCCTGCACTTGGCACAATTCCTCGTCTGTGATGATATCGAATGTTGCATCATCTTGTGGTTTGGAGGCTTCATTGGTAACTACCATAAAAGCATATAAAATGCAGTTATAGCATTACAAGAAATACCAATCATTGTTTCAAAGCTTATGTATAAGACCATTATTCTGCCTACACTGAAGTTTTAGTATAAGATTAAGTGGGAACCTCCACAATGACTCACCTGTATTAAATATAAATGGGAAATGATATTAATTTATGAATATTAGCACCCACTAACTAATGTACGCAACTGCTGTAGTACAAATTATTCCTTGACTTAGATCTGTTTGACATAATTGGATTTGTAGAAAGTGCAAGTCAGTCAGGATATGAAAGTCTAGTCAAGTCTTTTATTTAATAGCAGTACATTGACTAACCTGTAACTCTCCTGTTTGGTGACACTGGTGACTCTAATGGAGATGCTGATGCCCCTTGGTTGACAGGAGATCCTGAGCCATCTGCATTATCGACAACCACTCTAGGCTTATTAAAGCAAGTTCTACAGCTACGTTCCTTCTTGCCACTTTTTGTCATCATATAGTTGTTGCAGCAGTAGTAACAGAAAATGCGACCACATATTCTAGAGATTAGAAAAAGAAACAAAAACAAAGGCATGAATATATTATGCTTAAAACCAGAAGTAGTGATGTCACAATGGTTGAGGCTTTGGTAAAAAGTATCTTGTGCCCTAGACAAGCCTACATTTTCTGTAGGTTAAATGGCAACATTCTCAGTGCAAACAATTCTGCTTTTTGCAATTAATCAAGTCTCCCTAGCATTCAAAGTCTAGAGGGGCATACTGGTACCTTATATTCTCAATACAAATAAATGACAAAGGAAAAGGAATTTGTAGATAATATAATAATATAAACATCAACAAATAAAAATGACATATTTATTAATATTCCACTGATTTTAAATATACTGGGTAGTATGAACAGGCTCATACCCATATTCCTCAAACCATCCTTAATCCAAATCATTCAGTATATTTAAGCTGCATCCTCTCCAAAAAAGGGAAAAGTAGTGATATCATGAGAGAGAGAAGAAAAGAGGTGTATACTAGGATACTTTCTTATTGTTAGACCAATTAAATGCTTTTAAAGTGAATTGGTTATTATTTTCATGATTAAAAGCACCCAGTCCAGTTTGCTGCTACTGATGAAATCTCAATGCTAGCTGTTTTTCTGTAAGTATTTGGGATATCAGTGGGTTCCGGCAAAACTGTTAGCAATTTGTACAAATTTTATCTGAAATTCTTCAGTTGAAAATGTATCCTGGGAGATAGGAATTACCTCTTCATCAATAACTGCATGATATTCCCTAGTGTAAAATGTTACTGAATTGGAAAACTGAGCAAGTTCTGTGTGTCTTATGTGATCAATTGCCCACAAGAGATACAAAATATTGATTGCTTAAATAAATGCTCTACCAAGAGTGTGAAATATATTCACTGAAACTTTCCAGTGAACACATATGTAAACATCATTATACTGTTAAAAATACAAAAAGAGGCTAATTTTGTAGAAAATTAATCAATTAGCTCTTCTATATTTTAAAGCAGACTACATCTAAATCAGATTTATGCATTAAAAGTAATAATTTCTTAACAGATTCTATCTAAGCAGTGAATTATGTTTATGCAGAATGTAATACAATGGGACACTGGTTGTAACTAGGTGAGTGTTGCAAAAAAACAACAACAATAAAACCATCTCAGCAAATAATTTTTAAAGCAGGCATGCCATGTAACATGCATATTTTATAATGTATCCAATTGAACGGCAGAAATATAGAAACAATACATATTTTTTATGCAAACTAGCATATTTATTTCCAGGTTTCTAAAAACATGTTTAAAACAGTTCAGTGAACTAACCTGCAATGGTGTCGGCGTAGCATCCAACTGAACTCTTTCTGGCAGTCCAGGCACTGGTTTACTTCTGTGTCTCCCAGCCATCTTTGCTCTGCAGACAGCTTCTGCTGAAATTCCAGAGCATCTGATTTCTGCCAGAGGGCATCCTTATCCCTACAAAGATAAATGCAAAGAATTCAAGGTCCTTCATCTGGGTAGGAAGAACAACTATGCAATGGGTGGTGGCCTACTGGCTGACACAACAACTGAATGAGACCTGGGGGTCATGATTTACTGGAAGATGAATATGACCCAACAGCATGACAAGGCTGCCAAAAGGGCCAATAAAACTCTGGTGTGCGTCAGCTGCTGTGTGGCCAATATATCCAGGGAGGTACTCATCCCTCTATTCAGCGTTGGTGAGGCCTCAGCTGGAGTACTGTGCCCACTTCCGGGCACAGCACTTCAAGAAGGACATGGATAAACTCGAGAGGGTACAAAGAAGGGCCACCCATTTGATTACAGTCATGGAGGATAGGCCCAATGAAAAGAGGCTCCGGGAACTGGGCCTGTTCAGCATGAGGAGGAGAAGGCTGAGAGGTGACTTGATAGCTGCCTACAAGTACCTCAGGGGGGAGCATCAAGAACTAGGAGAGCAACTATTTAAGAGGGCGCCTCAAGGGAGGATGAGGACTAATGGGCATGAACTAATAGAGGGTAAATTCAGGTTGGGTATAAGGAAAAACTTTTTCTCTGTATGGGGCATCAGAACATGCTCCTAGCAGAGGTGGTGCAGTCGCCCTCCTTGGAGGTGTTCAAGACGAGGCTGGAAAGGCACCTTGCTGAGCTCATCTGAGCTCAAACTTCCTGCCCACGGCAGGGGATCGGACTTGATGACCGTACAGGTTCCTTCCAGTTCGATGATTCTATTCTATGATTCTATTTCATTTTTCTGCTTTTTAGTTTCTTTTTAGTTTACCCATCTGTAAAATGTAGAATTTTAAGCTAGATTAATTTTAAACCAGATTAAGCTACACTGCTCTCAATTATATCTTTTTCAATGAAAAGCCACACCAACTTAGACTCCGCTAAATGTCTGAGAGTGGGCATAATTGGGTTTAAAGAGCTAAGTACAAACAGTCAGGGGCATTAGGGGGAGGTTAAATCAATTAAAAATGGCTGTCTGATATCAGGTAAGTCAGGATGGAGAGGGCTAGTCAGGGGGCTAGGGATCTAGCGAACTAGAGGGGATCAAGGGTCTGCCAGGGAATGGGGGAAAAACGTTACCTGCAGGTGGGGTAGGGGAACAGGTGTGACCCACAGGTGGGGGGCCAGGTGCAACTTGCGAGGAATGGGGGCGGCAGGCACAACTCATGGCTGGGGTGGTGTCCCCCCCAGCAAACCTACACCTCCATCTCTCCTGCCCCACCCCACACCAGGACTTACTTGCTTGGCTCTGGCAGCACAAATATTGATAAAAGCAGCTGTACTGGAGCTGCTTGTGGGATGGGGGTTGAGAGCGCTGGCTGGGAAGGGAGCAAGGGACCAGGGGGACAAAAAATAGCCCAGTGCAGGAGAGGAGGGGCGTGGAAAGAACAGCCCTGGGTCTGGGGGCAGTGGTTGGGTTTTCCCAGCCCCAGGGCTGCACAGGGAAGGTGGACAGAAATTGCATGCACTGGTTTGACCCAAATCGAATGAGTCTGATACTACACAGATCCAGGTTTATCTTAAAGTGGGTTCTGCAATTTTAGACCAGTTTGTGTTCATGGAACTTCTGTTCTGTTACAGGTTTAGACTGACTGCTGGTCACTGAGACCAAGTCCGCAAGTGTAAGGTTAGCACTGGGACAAGCTAAGTTTAAATCGGGCAGCCATTTTGAACCCAATTTAACCTCCCGAATGTCTGTACTTAACCTCGATGCCTGAAAAATTAGCATAATCAATCCTTTGTCCATGTATCACCTGTGAAAATGGCCTCTGGAAAGACTGGAACTGAGAAAGAAAGTTACAGCTATCTTAAACCTACTAATTAGCAACCATCACTATGTATATCTGGGAAAGGATAAGTGATAAAAAGACTTTTTAGGGACTTCCGGGATATGTTTTAAAGCCGTGTTGGTCTGAGACACAGACGAATATAAAACTCTAAAACTCTTGATTCAGAGGTGATACCTTTTATTAGATCAACTAGAAAACAGCAAAAAAGAAAGATTTTTTTTGCTATTTCCTAGTTGGTCTAATCAAAGGTATCACCTCTGAACTAAGTTTTAGAGTTTTATATTCCTTTTTAGGAACTTCACACATTTGTGTCTTCTTGATCATTAACTTGTCAAGGTAAGTCAAGTTAAGCTCACAACTCCTTGGACAACTATCATTAATAAGTAACGATCGCTGTTTTCTGATTGGACAATACAAAAAGTCCCGAGGAGAAGAATGGGTACTTCTGGGCATCAGCCCAATAAGTTAATAAATTCCTTAAGTTCATAAATTCTTCAAATTTTTGACAGTATTTAGGGGAGTAATAACTGATAAAAGCATACTATAGTACCAGTTCTACTTCTGAACCAGCCTCACAAAATGACATGTAGAAGGAACCTCTCCATAGGATCTCATCTTCTGCTGAGTAACTGATATCTGATGGCTGAAGTGCGTTTTCATTCTTAATTTGATTTAAGCAGGGAAGATTTTCCAGTCTGGACAACACTGTTGTGTAAGAAGGGGAGGACACGATTCATAAAGAAGTGAGAAACCACTCAGCACTCTGTTGCTTGTGTTATCTAATAGTAGCATTATTTTATACCTTTTGCCAAAGTTGCTACATGTCAACAAGTTCATAAGCTCAAACACTTAGAAGGCTGAAAGTAAAACACCCCTGACTTTTTATCATATACTGCAACATGTTTGTCTTTTTGTTCTAAAAGTGGTTAGAAATTTCCAGGCAGTGAAGGGAAGTCTTTTTTTTTTTGAGAGAGAAAAATGTGTCTGGTGGTTAAGGCACAAGGCAGACTGGGGGACTGAAGTTCAGTTGGCATCTGCCACTGCCTGCATGCATGACCTTCGGCAGGCCACTTAGGCTCAGCTTTTCAAAAACTGTACTGTAGAGACAAACTGTAAGCATTACACACTGGAGAAAAAATTACTGGCTGGAAAAAAAATACAGACTCATTTTTGAGGGAGAAGAGGGAAATGTATCGAATTCTGAATTACATAGCAAAACAGATCTCCCCACAAAATGGAACATTTGGGATATATTACTTTTAAGTATCACTTAACTATTGAACTTAACTACTACTAAACAAGATTTCATAAATTTTGTCCGTTACCTTCATTTCCAGTTGAGGAATAAAAGATTAGATCCTCCAAGCAGCACTATTTAAGCCCCCTGCAATTGAATGATTTGGGGTTTTTTGTACCAACCTGATGAGTTCTATTAAACGTTCTTCCAGGAATTGCTTGGTTCTTGTTAGATCATCCAGCTCAGCACACAACTTCTGGTCATTGCTCTCTCTGTCCATTTTCACTTTGTTGAGCTTGTCATTATATTCTTTGACTTGCTCATTTGCTTTGTCAACTTCCTTTTGGGTCCTATTTAAATGCAAATTCATTTTGCATATTAATTGTAAACTCAGTTTTTGTTTCTTCAGGAAGGCCCTGGTGAAATGTCTCCTGACCAAATCTGTAGTTCCAGTGAAATTTCTCTCAGCATGAGTGCTGCCACATAAGGTTCATTTTAGCTTTTCAAGCACTTTTGGAGCTATGCAAAGATATGTTAACCTAGGGGCACCTCTGACAGTCAGTAATTTCTGGGGACCAGAGACCATTTTCCTGCTCCCTTATTACAGGTGCGTTTATGATGGCTGTCTCCCTGGCTGAGACACCAAGGACAGAACTGAGTTTCCCTATAGCTAAAATCATGTGCTGTTGAGGCTTGAGCTAAACATCCAGGACTCTATAAACAGTGCCATAAATGACTGTGTCATCTGCAAACTGGGCACAGAGAGACCCATAAATAAAGCAACCAGCCATCTCAATTTTTCCAAGACAGACCCAAATTTTAGGTCCTCCCCCCCAAAAAAAAACCAAAAAAACCCATATATATATATATATATATATATATATTGCCATGGCACAAGCAGGCAGATGCATCTGCTGCAAGGAGCTGTTACAACAGTGTGTGGTGCTGTATGGATACGACTACACTACTTCTATTCACACGCTGTGATCAGACTAACTAATTCTCTGAGAGACAGAAGCAGTTCATTCAGGATCTGTAGAATGAACATAGCAGTAGTGGTGTAAATGACTTGGAGCCCTGGAGAGCTGTGGGGTATTATAATGGTCCCAACAGCCCCCTATGAAGAAAGTCTAGCACCATGTAGGATAGTTTCATTAAGGAGATAAGAAATGCAATGAACATAAAACTTCACTTTGGTTGAGAAATAAATTTGCATTCTTGGCAAGTCAAATTTTTTTTGTCTACAATCCCAATCCAAGCTCAGTGCTCATACATTATTTCCACTGCCCCCTTATGCCACAAACAGCAATTTTTGTTTGCTTTGGTTGCTGTTGTCTGACTTGGCTTCTCATGTACAGCTTAAGCAATAGATGCAAAGTGCTTACCTTTCCAAGTTTTCTTTCAGTGACATCACCTCCTCTTCCTTTTTCAGCCTGACAGATTCGTATTCAGTCAGCTGCTCTGTTGCTTGATCCAGTTTGCTAGACAGATCTGTGTTTGTAGCCTAGAAAAATAATAACATATTTTTATCGGTGTATAAAATTTATAAAAGTTGTGTGCATGTATTTATTACACACACAAATATAGGAATAATGCTTTATCAACCGTTCTGCACTTAACATAGTCAACTAGCTCAATAATGCTTTTAAAGGGGAAGTTTAGGCCAAAGTATTAATTAAAACATTACTGTATCATCAGATGCTAATTAACTGTATACTGGGGATTGATTACTTATGTCATGCTGAATAAGGGAAGTAAGACAGCATTAAACTGTCCTGGTAATTCTTATTAGTCAGCACACAAAGGCCTTTGCTGAAGAGTGTTTATCTCTCTGTTGCAGAAAAAAATGTTTCAAGGAAGACAGCCAATGAGTAAACTTCATCAGAAGCAAGCAGTATTTTACATGCTGAAATAAGAAACCCCAGAGAAAAATTTAATGCTCAAAAGGTTAAAGTTTTAAATTTAAAGTTTAAAAGAAACATGAAAAGAAAATATCCAGTTTTGGGCTTCTTCATTAACGTAAGGCTTACATGTAAAAGGAAGTACAAAAGCACCTGTTCTATTTAAACGTGACAAGCAACATTTTCAAATTAGGGTGCCAACTGCTATGCCCCGGGTCTGTATTTAGGCATCTAAGTGCTCAACTACCATTTGTACCTTTAAAAATCTCTCACTTTAGGCACCCAAATGTGAGACTACTTGACCTGGGAACCTTTATTTCTTCAAGTGGTTTTTCAGGGTCCCAGACAGCTACCAGGCAGGCTGCCTGCCTTATCAGCTACAATCCAAATGATTGCTGACACAACACATCCCGGTCTTTTAATCAGATCAAGCACCTACCTCTAACTCTGCAATCTCCTCTTCTGTTGCACCCAGTTGTTGCTTCTGCTCCTTGAGCTGCTCTTTTACTTTCTCACATTCCTCGCTGACAGCCTAGTATAGTCCAGAAAACATTTATTAGACTTTACACTAGAGTTGTGTCTCCCCCCTCACCTCCCATTTGGGAGTTGCCTGCTGATGAGGAATGAACAATTCAAGTTGAACCAGGGAAAAGCCTGGTCTATTATGTGGCTGATCAATTTCTGATGGGAACTCAAGTGAACTTTGAGCCTAAAATTCATGGCATAATCCCCTTTTGAGGTAATCAGGTTATGTTTGTGGGCCTGTGTATCCTTTAACAGAAACAGCCCAGTCTGCTAAACAAGTAAATATCATCCTGAGAGTGAAAGAAAGAAATACGACATGTTCACAAGTAGGAGACTAAAATGCACAAAGTAGAAAGTAAATGAGCTATTTCTCCAAATGATAAGTATCTCAGGGTACAGAGGGATGTAAAAACCTGATCACCCAGGAGGCTTAGTCTCAGTTCCAGAGCTGCAAAAACATACACACACTACTTAATTTTTCAGGGATTTCATCCTACAAGAGCAGGAATTGAACTGGGCTTGCTGAAGCAAAATTTATATCGGTGGCTGTTAAAAAAAACCCTCAGAGTGGGGATTTTCAAAGGCTGCTAGTGGTGTCCTAACTTTGTTCTCTAGCTCTTTGATCATACAAGCTAACCTTAAGATGTGGGCTGAGGGTAACCAATATTGCAATACGCTTTCAAGTGTGCAGTCTGCCTCAAATGCTGCCACTAAGATAGGTGCCAACTACTCATGTCTGTATCAACAGCATAGTAAAAGTAAAGCCCAATGACAACTTCAATGTCAACAATATGAACTGTTTCTCTGTTAGTCATAGCACCCAATGAAAGAGAAGAAGGATCATGTTATAAGCTCTGCACAATTTACTGTGACAGACCTCTTCTTTGAGTGTCATGAGTAAGTTGATGCTGCTTTGCAAGTACCTCTTGAGAAACCACCATTTGGGGTTTTTACACCTCAACCCCTGTTATCAGAGAATCAAGAAGATCTGAGGGCAGGTAGCCCAATGCGGCTATAAAACACCCTGCATGTTGGGACCCGCTTGGATAGCAGGTTTTTTTAGATAACAGGTTTTTAAAAAAAAAATGGTACATTGCAAATTGAAATGTTTCAAGGTCATTGATGAATAAATATTTACTAAAGCCAAGCAGTCATCAAGTCTCAGAACCCATGTTTCAAAAATCTCCTTAAAAAGTGTGCAGCCCCATCCTAGCTTTACTGGGTCATGTGTTTTTTAGAGAAGCTAAATCTACTTCAGTACGAAAAGTCAGCAGGACCCAAGGCTGCTTAGCACACTGCAGTCAGGCACATGGTTTTCAGAGACAAATCTCTTTAAATTCATAGATTCACAGGTTAAGGCCCCAGATGTGACTGCTGTGAATATGTAGTCTGACCTCCTGCATAACACAAGCCTTAGAATTTCAGCCAATAATCTCTGTAATGGAGGGAATTATTCCTCCCTACTATGTAAATCAGCGGTATCAAACTCATCCGGCCCTGTAATCCAGATCACGGGTGTGGGGCTGGTCTGCAGTCCAGATCAGGTCCATAGACCAGTTCCAAGTGTTGGAGACAATGAGCAGGGCCAGTCCAGTGTGGGTGCTGCATGCAGCATGAGCCCCAGATTGGCCATGAATGCTGTGTGTCCAGCAGACTGGCACCGTATCCAACAAAGAGGGCTGGTCTGCCATGGGCACCACAAGCAGCATACATCCTGGTTTGGCCCTTCCTGCCATGTGAAACATGCTGGATTGGCTCTGTGTGCCACAACCAGTGTGTGCGGCCAGGTCCAGCACATGCTGGTGAGACTGGTTTGAGACCACCGGCAGTACCATGGGCCAGATGATAGGTCAGTGTAGACCAGATCTTTGACACTCCTGATGTAAATGAACACTGTACAGCATCAACTTACCTTGAATTTTGTTTGATAATTTAAAATCTCTGTGCTCATTTGAAATTTTATTGAAGACAGCTCTTCTTTGCTGGTCTCCTGGAAGTTCTGTGTCTGTTTCTCAGCCATCTCCAGCTGTGCTTGCAGGCTTGGAACAGCTGCAGCACATACCTGAGCCTCCCTCAGTTTGTCTTGCAGGTTTTGGTTCTCTTGCTTAAGCACAGAGATGTCAAGTTGCAGCCTCTCCTGTTCCTTTGCTGCCTGCTCATCCACTTCATGAAGCCTCTCACTGACCTGGGCCAGCTTCTCTTCTGCAGCCACCTTTTCAGAGGTCAGGGAACAGATCTGAATCCCGAGTTCTGCCATCTCAGTGTTGGTCCTGTGGAGAAGGTCTTTGTGCTCCACGTTTTCTGTTCTTATAGTTTCCAAACACTGTTTCACCTTAGACAGCTCTTCCTTGAGACTCATCAAGTTCTTCTCCATCTCAGCTTTCTGATGGGCATCCTTTTCCCACTCCTTTTCCAGAGCCTCCTCTCTTTGCTTGCACTGTACCAGCTCTTGCACATGGCTTCTGTTGAGCGATTCACTTTGCTCTTTCAGCTGCTGGACCAGCATTTTCTGTTCTTCCAGAACCACCTCGGTGACATCCAGCTTGCCTTGCACCCTCTCTCGTTCATCAGCTGTCTGTTGAAGTTTGGCTCGCAGCTCAATGACTTCGGTCTGCAGCCTGGACACTTCACCATGATTGACCTGCAGCTGCTCTTCAGTCACAGCCAGTTTGGAAGCTAGCTCTTGGGTTTTTTTTTCCTGACAAGCTGCTTGCTCCAGCTGGACTTTCTCCACTGAATTCTTCTCAGTAGTAAGGGATTCAATCAGTTTTGTTTGGTGAAGGCACGTTTTTTCCACGCTTAGCTTTTCCATCTCCAGAGCCTCTGCTTTTTTTCTGTGTCTCTCCAGCTCAGCCTCTAGCTGCTTGCACTGCTGCTCCCTGTCTTGGAGCTTCATATCCTTCTCTGTCACCTGCGACTTAAGAGATTCTTCACTTTCCTTCAGGGACAACAAACTCTTCTCCATTTGTAAACTGTTCTGTCTGGCACTCTTGTGCTCTCCTTGCAAGACAGCTAAAGACTTCTTGGTGGCTTCTTCTCTTTGTCTCAGTTCTTGGAACTCAGAACGTAGTGCCCGTAGCCTCTCTTCCAAGAGTTGGTTTTGCCTTGTGGTGTTCTGCAAGTCTTCATCCAGCTGTTTGTTCTGGCCCCGGAGCTTCTTTTCTTTTTCATCCACTGACACCAAGGCATCATCAATCTGACTCTGGAGCTGTTTTTCAGAAGCTCTCAGCCTGGCCACCTCAGCTTCTAAAGAGGCCTTAGATGCCTCCAAGTTTTTCAGCTTCTCTTTCATCTTCTTCTTGGCTTGCTGCAGATTTGTATTCTCAGATTTCAGCTTTTTGTTGTCTTCACCCATTTCGCTCAGAGCTAAGCTTTGCTGCTCTGTGCACTCCTCCAAGGCCTTTATTTTTTGGCTGACCTGGTCCTTCTCAGAAAGGAGTTTCTTTTTTTGCTCCTCCAGGCTATGCACATTCTGACTCAGCTTTGTTGTGCGGTCCTCCAGAAGCTCCAATTGCTCTGCCAAGGCATTTACTTTCTGTCTCTGGGTACTTTCAGTGATGCTGGACTCCTCCTCAAGTTGCTCTTTTTCTTTTCTGACCTCTTCAAGTTTTTTTTCCAGTGAACCCACCCAAGCCTGAGAGCCCTTCAACTGGATCTGGAGGTCAGCTACCTCCTTGCCTTTCATCGTCAGCGCCTTCTGAAGTGCATCCATTTCCTTTGCTATGGTTTCCAGGCTCATAAGTAATTTTTCACTCTCTTCCCTGGAGTCAGCAGCAAGGCAATCATACCTAGATTCCAGTTCTTTCTGTACCTCCTCTTTCAGCTGCAGTTCTTCTCTCACTGTCTTCAGTTGGGACAGGTGTTCATTGCTTAGTTTCTGTATGTCAGCCTTTTCCTCTTCTGCCTGATGAAGTTTTTCTAGTAATTCTTGGATCTTTACAGCACAGTCATAGTTAGTGGTGGTTTGTTGTTCCTTCTCACCCAAGGAAGCATCTATTTTTGCAATGAGGTCCAGGTTCTTCTGCTCTGTAGAGCTCAGCTTGTCACTAAGCTCACTGATGCAAAGGTCCTTCATGCTGACCAAAGCCCGAGCAGTTTCCAGCTCCTGATTCAAGTGGTGCAGTCTTGAGGTGCAGGCCTCCTTGCTGGACTCCAGTTGCTCTAGTTTCGTATAGTATTCCTTTTGCTTTTCAGCTGCATTCAGTTCTAATGACCGCAAGCATTTCTGCAGGTCATGAACAGTACTCTGCGTGGACTGGGAGACTTCACATTGCTTCTGTAGCTCTGCTATCATCTTTGTCAGCCTGGCGTTCTCTTCACTGTAGTTGCTGCTCTTCTCTTTTTCCACTTGCACTTGTTCTTTCTGAAGGCCAATGGCTGCCTGAAGCTCCTGATTTTCAATTTCCAGCTGATGAATCCGATCCTGAAGCTCTCTCTGCCTCAAATCTGCCTGGTCAAGCTCCACTCGCATCTCTTCAAAACCTTCTAGTTGTTCAGGATTTAAGGAATTATTTGCATCAGGGCTAGAAGGATACTCCTGAGCCTAGGAGCAGAGGGGTGGGGGAGAACAAAGAGTTTAGATTTAAAAAACTGTTGCATTTTGCCTGTATCAGATTAGATTGTACCAGGTATTGGCAATGGCTTAATGGTTTTTGATTTATACTGGGTGGTGGTAACATTAATATTCTGGGATTACAGTAAAGATAAAAGTCAGCATTTTGAGACTCTCGTGTTACTGATAATCCCTTTTAATTACTTTTTTTTTGTTACCAGGCATTTTTATAGAGCTCATGATTCAGGGTCCAAGCACTTATACCAAATTCAGATTCAAAGTTACTTTCATTTGTTATTTATTTATTCTTTGCATGTTATTTAACTAGGGAAAAATCAGGTCAGTCTGCTCTCAGGCCCCAATTTAGCAAGGCATTTAAACATGCACTTCATTCTTGTTGACTTCAATGGCTCTTCAACATGAGTTTGAATGCTTTGCTGGGCCAGGAGAAAATTTCTCAGAAATCATCAGTGATGTTAGTTTTTAGGTTTCCAGTGCTATAAAGGGAAAGCTCCAAGGAAAAGGGGCTGTTTTCCTTGATACTAATGTAAGTTTTTCTAGCTGTCTACAATTGTTTAAACTATGTTTAAGACAACTTAAATGTTGGATTTCATCATCAATTGAGAATTTCTTTTTATTTTTATTGTCAGGGTTTTTGTAGCTTCCTAAAATCCCAAGTATCAGACAGCCTCTAGACTGGCACTGGCTACATCATCATATAAAGATCTGCACTGGTAAGGAAATATGACTGACACACTCTCATTTGTTATTCCATTACCTGTAGGTAGTTGCTCACTAAACTGCTCATGCTTGAACTGCGACTTGGAGGCTTCCACAAATATGCTGAAGTGCCAAGTGAGGACAATGTCCTCCTGTAAATCACAAGGAAAAACCATGCTATTTTGAAAGGCTAAACAAACATACATGCACGCGTGCACATGCACATGCCCCCTCCATCAATATGCACAGACACAAATTGTGTGCTCTAACATTTGGGATTCTTTTAGGTATAGCCACAGCAGACTGTGAAGCACAGCAAGCTAGTGTGCATAGTCTCTGCTTCAACAAGGACTTTGCACTTGTCCTTGTGGAATTTCATCTGGTTGACTGTGGACCATTTCTCCAGTTTATCCAGGTAATTCTGGGTCCTAGCCCTACCTTCCAGAATGTCTGCACCTCCACCCAAATTAGTGTCATCTAGAAATTTGCTAAGTGTGCACTCCACGCCATCAAATCAGACCTTGGGTTTATTTCTGCACTCTTAAGTGGGATCAGGCCCATTGAAGCAAATGTATGTCATAAGGTCATTTAATACTGTAAGTGAAAGAGGTCACTATTAGTTTGGTCAGAGCCTCAGCTTTTGGAATAGAAGGAACTCAGATCACTTTTCACTGTCACTGTGAATACCTGAGTCAACATGGGGCATAAGCTAGTGCCCCTTGCAGTAGAAGGAACATTCTTCTGGACTTCAGTAGGCATTAGAGTTGGGTCTTCATGTTCAGTATAATAAAGACAATGAAGTCCAGGTTGGGCACAGATCTGCCAGAAAGTAAAGTTTTGTGCTGCCTGTAACGCAACCCTTTTCCCCCCCTCCTTCCTTAAATATAAACATTGCAGAAGACTTTGCAGATCAGCTAGTATATGTTACAGCTCCAACATCTGCAAAATTATAAAGCTTGTCTACATTACCTTGCAAATGTTGGCCAAGCAGCATCTAAGTCGTAGCCTCTGGATGCTAAGTCAAACTGAACATCAGTGAGCTCATAGAGTTGACCCACAATGTCAGAGCTCATTTTAGATTTCAGAAATGGACTCCTTGCATAGTACCAATCACTAAAAAAAGAAGTCAGTAGTACTGGTTAATACATAGAAAAGAGCATCATTGTCCAAATTATGACAAAGAACAATCTGTCTCGTCAGATAAAAAAATAAGAGGATCGACCCCATAACATTCAGACTAACCACTGACTAACCCTGATCCCCTCTTTTGGGAACAAGGGGGAGGACCTCAGAGTGGCAGCTGGGGCGACTGAAACCTATGGATCCCCTTACTTGAAAACTTCTTAAACAATAAAACTTTACTTTGGGCTTGAGAAAGGCTGTGGCAGAGGAAAAGGATTTGCTACATATTGGATAGTTACACTGTATTCTCTGGTCTTACATTTATATTTTGCAAACATTTCTTCTTTTTAAGCAAACATGAGCCAATGTAATGTTCACAGCATTCAGTAACAGGTTGCACCAACTAGACTTAGGTATAATGAGGCTAGGAACATATGTTACATTTGTCTCTGGACAAATTGTGCCTGCGTTTATCCCAGAACAGGTATATCCCACAATTAGTATGTACATACATTTCCCTTCTAATAAAGGTTTAATGAGCAGCTGAACATGCTACAGTTTTTCTACCACTGGTTCAATGATGCAACCCTGGGATAGCCATTCAGGTGCACTCTGGGATGTATTGTTAGTACTGTGAGTAGTTCTTATCTCTCAGACATTTTTAAGATTTATCCCAGGACAATTCACACAGTTCTGACAACTGCACTTTGTACCAGGAAAAAACAGTTTATCCTGGGACAAATGCAATGCCTGTAGGGAGAACTGTGAGTGTTCTCCCAGAAGCTCTGCTGAATCTCCAGCACTGAAGGCAGAAAACTTTAAGACATGCAAGCTCCAAAACACTACATATTTTTCACATATTCCCAGCACAAAGCAGAGATAAAACTTTTCATGACCTGCACTTTGCTTTTTAATGTAAAATATACATAACTAACCACTGATGCTTGTTATTTCTATTGTCTAGTACAGGGGCCGGCAATCTTTTCAAACCATGAGGTTGGAATACTCTGGCTCCAGTCAGGTGCGGGCTGGGTGGTTTTATAGGGAATCAGCAGCAAAGGGGGTTTACCCAGGTCTGTGTTGGGGCCAGGCAGTAGGAGCTGTGCCAGTGCTACCACCGCTTTTTCCAGTCCCTGGCTTCCTGGCTGGGGTGTCAGTACAGCTTCTAACCAGAGGGGAGCTGAGTAGGGGCCAGGCAGCTGGGAAGTGCACCCACACTGCTGCTGCCACTTCTCCCTGCACTCCCCATCCCACCCCACCCCTGATCTTCCCAGCTGCAGTACAGGTGCAGCTAGAAGCTGCCTGGCTCCAGCTTAGTTCCCCACCTGCTAGAAGCTGCATTCGCACTGCAGTCAGGCAGTACGGGGCAGGGAGAAGTGCTGGTGATGTGGGTGCAATTTCCAGCTGCCTGGCTCCAGTGCAACTCCTTAATGCCCAGCCCCAGCATGGGCATGGGATGAGGCAAAGACTTCCAGCTCCAAAGGCCAGATCCAGTGGCTCCACAGGCGAAATCCAGCTTGCAGGCCATAGGTTGCTAACTTCTGGTCTGGTAATTGAAAAGCATAAAACTGGCTAGCCAGTGACAGTGGCTTTGTTTTAAATATTAGTGAACGTATTTCTTTTTAAGAAGTACCCCATTGATGTCCTGGAGTCTAAAAGTCTCTGTCTTCAGAATTAATATAAAACTGGAAATCTTTCTCATACAATCCTGTGCCTATGTGCTTTCACTCTTGCTGCTCTAGAAGGTGAAAGGATAGCTTGGTATCCATATCTATTCACTTCCTAACTCCCCTACTGAGACTAGTAGTGCTGGTGGTAATAACTGCTTAACTATATCAACATCTGTCCAAGAGGAACTGGACTGGGGCCAACAACTCATTTCATACAGGCCACAAAACAACTTTGAGATGGGAACAACTCTCACTATCTGCTGACTGAAGATGGGTATGAACCAGTGACCTGAACTGGACAGGCTTTGTATCCTATTATTAAATTCTTGAGCCAACCTAATGGAGGGTTTTTAATTTATTTGAATAAATGTTGGATCAGTCACATATGAGCTAGAGATGAACATTAAGCATCTCACAATCCTCACAAAGGTACCTTGATATTTACCTTGTTACTTTGGTGTTCATAAAACATTGCTGCAAGGTGTCAGCTAGCCTTTGGTGTACTAAGGAGTAACGTATAAATGCTCTTCCTTTACCAAGGGATGTTCTCAACTGGGAAGAACAAGCAACAAAACAATAACTTTTAAACACTAAATACATACACTACACATACAGAAAGCATGAATAGCAATTTGGGCTCTTAGAAGTGATGGTAGGTACATCCCCACCAGACTTCCTCACCATCCCAACATTGAGTTGTGGTCTGACAAATACAAGATTGGCATTTTATTGATAGGAAACAGAGATACAGAAGGTAACAAAGGACAGACTCTGCCCCCAAACGTACATATAAAATTATCTTCAGATTATATACGACAAGTAATGTTGAGTTAGATTGTGCCATCATTATACTGCATAATACTATATTTCAGGAATAGTATATCTATTGAAGTCAAAGGGTCAATTCATGAAACAAAGTGCTAGTCAACATAAGTATTGCAGAACTCCTCCAGTTTGTTTTTTTTTGCTTTTGAGATCTGTCTGTTTTGTTTTTATAACCAAGTTATTTGGTACCCTTCAAAATATAGAGAGATGTAGTTAGCGATATTACTATGAAGTCAAGTAGAAGGCAGGGTAGGTTTGCACCTTGTAGACTAAGTGAGTGTTAGCTCTTAAAAACTTGTACGACATATATATGATGCCCCCCAACCAAAATAGACAGGTACGTTGGAAGTAGTTTAAAATAGGTAGATTAAAAGCAGCACCCTATGGGCACTTGAACACCACAAAAAGTGGGATGAGACTGATTCTCATCTCAAGCACTTCATAAGCAGCCAAACACCCTATCCGCCCAGGTATGAGCCCCCCCGAAACTTATGGATTAAAATAAACAATAGTAGTGCACCGATAAAAGATTTTCTTGGCCAATACTGATAGCTGACTATTAACCAGCCATATCAGCCAATACTGATCTGATCACTGATTTACAGAAATTCAGTTGGGCAACTTGGAGAGCCACGTCCTGCTGGTAAGTCTGTGGGCTGGGGGTAGGGGGGGTGTATGAGCAGGGCAGACTGAGGGAGGGAGTGGGGCTGAGGCTGGGGCTGGGGCAGGGATAGGTGCTGCCCAGCCAGGGCAGTGAATGGAAACCCGGGGTGGGGCGCAGGATGGAGCTGTGGGCAGCTCCCCACTGCTGCATGCACCCCTGGGGGAGGCACAGGAGAGTATGTGCTTCCCTCCTCCAGATTTCTGTGCAGGGAGGAGGCAGGCTGCCCGCTGTGGGCTTGGGGACATGGGCTACGTCAGCCAATTCTTGGCGGAGGGGCTGGGCTGGGGCTGGGAGCAGGGTGGGCTTGGCTGCGTGGGGCAGGCAGCAGTGGTGATGCTGGGAGGCGTGGTTACAGGAGAGCTATGGGGAAGTTTGGGGTGGCTATAGCCCCCCAAGCCTTCCCTTAGCACCGCCCCTGCTTGTGATTATTCTGCTCTACTGCCTTTCCGTCAGGAGCCCTGCTCTGCTGATGAGTACAACCCATATCAATTTGTGCTGTAATCCTACCAGAATTAATAGAGCTAGGTAAGGCTGGGCACTCTCAGCACTTCCAAAATGAATGAAAGCCTCCAGCTGGTGGGAATAGTGTGCGGACAGTGTTGCTGACAGTACAGCTTTTTTGAAAGAGATGTAAAAGCAAAGGCACAAAAAGACGTATTTTAACGTAAGTTTGTCTTCCTTTGAGAATAAGAAAAATAACCCCAGTGGCTTGGTTCACTCTATTTGGAACATCAGAGATGGCTTCATTAATGCGAATGCAGTTTCAATGGGTCCACAAGCTCTCTCACTCAGTGACCTAGTGAATATGTACTGCAGCTCCACAAAGAGGGAGGGGAAAAGTTATTCCTTATTCAATATTCTATGATTTCTAAAACAGTGATTAACATCACTTCCTCTCATTTCCCTACTGCCAAACAGAAAACATTCTTCCTGGAAAACACTTCAAGTTATGGTTTTAAAGTATATACAGGTTCATCTTTCAACTGCTGATCTCCACCTGAAGTCAGGGGAAATAGCCTAAAATCAACTCCTCTGACTTCTATTGTTTCATTTCAGAACCAGAATCTTACACACCTGCTACCTGAAGTAGTCAACTGATTTTTTTAAAAATCATAAGCCACAAGTAAAAAAAAAATTCCCTCAAGCTTCTGCAGCTATTGAAAGAACACAACATTGTTGAATGGTGAAATTTAAGCCCACCGTAAGGTGTTTTAAAAATCTTTTGAAAACTTAAGGCAGACAAGAAGAAATTAGTACTAATTGGGAAGAGAAGACACAGAATTTAAAATCATCATCAGTCACCAAAGTTCAATCAAAGTTTCCAAGCTAGATACAGAAAAAGCAAGATCAGATGAAGCTCTTATTAAACTACAAAAATGCAGAAGGTTTCTGTGGTGTAGGTTGTAGCTGTGTTGGTCTAAGGACATAGGCAGACAAGGCTCTTTGGGTATATCTGATATCTTTTATTAGACCAACTCAAATAGTTGGAAAAATTCTTCTTAGCAAGCTTTAAGGTTTAAATACTTCAGTATCTAGTTTGGCACCTTTGACTGAACTTCAGTATTTAAGCCTGAAAACTTGCTAAGAAGAATTTTTCCAACTCTCTGAGTTGGTTTAATAGAAAGTTTCTGTTGTTCATATGCCCCTCACCACATGCAGACAATTACGTGCACCATAATCTGGGGCTGATATGGCCAGATAACATAAATACACCTTCATTTTTATCTGAAGCAGGGGTGTCAAACCTATTTGAGTTGGTAGGCATCATTTGAACTACAGGACTTCTCATGGGCAGGATCCAGCACACAGGTCTTCTCACTAGAGTTGCAAGGGCCAGCAAATGAGGAGAAAAGTTGTTGCTGCTGATTTAAATGCCAGGTGGCAATCAACACCTGGAAATTCTGCTGCAGGGAAGGGGGCAGGTGGTTGTAACAGGGAACCCTTGCCCTGTTGTTAGACAGTGGAGAAAGAGAGATGGAGGGGCAGAGGGGTTAAGAGAAGGGAGTCACAGGCTGGAGTATAGAGGGCCAGTATCCTCAAAGATGAAACAGCAGCAGTTTAAGGGCTCACCAATTAAGTAATTAGCAACTCATTCACAGGTTGAGACTGGAAAGAGATACCTGGCTACTTAACTCCCTTCCAGAGGACAGGAAGGGAGGAGGGAAGAGTGTTCAAGCAAAACTGGAATCAGTGTTTGCAGAACAAGGTGTGTGAAGCAGAGGTGAGGGGCTCCTGATGCCAAAGTGGGATGACTTACTTAGCTGGAGGAGACTGTGGAAAGGGGTGAAGCAGCCTACGGGTGAAACTTGAATGCTGAGAGAAAGACTGATTAGACAGGATATGACTGTATTGTTCCTTTCCTCTTTTTCTTTCTTACCACATAAGTGATCCCAGTGGTTTGGGATGGGACTGTGAGGGGAGGAAGGAGGTCCCGTAAGAGCCTGAGTGGGCAGAGGTGTGGCCAGGGGGGCTAGTGCCCATGAAGAGTAGTGAGTGGGCACAGGCCCCACATTATGAGACTGAAGTCAGTGGATTTTGAGAGTGGCTCCTTCCAGAGAATCAGGATCCAGGTGGATAAAGAAGCCCCTACAAGGTGATGCTCATGCAGAAAGGGTGAGCCCCTGGGGGGTGGTAAACAGAGCAGGATGCCCATTCCAGGGATAGGGCAGAAGAAGCAAAGAGCAAAAGCCTGGTGAACAATATATGCAGTGGAAATAACCCCTGACTCTGCCTCCTGAACCTAGGTAGATTGAGGTGTGGCAGGCGAGCTAAGAGAAAGGGAGGCAAAGCAGGGACCAGGGGAATCATGACAGGCAGCTACAGCTTCCAGGTGACTGGGGAGATCAGACTGATTGCCTTTATTTTCAGCAAAGCTGTCATAGTGGTGTTAACCCCTTAGTGTTGGCCATGCCAACACAGTGGCTCTGGGAGCCAGAGTAAGAAGCCCCGTGGACAGATCTAGGGGTAAATCATCCAGCCAAAAAGAAGCCGTGTCGGCCAGATGACCCACTCTACAGGCCAGATCTAGTGTGCAAGCTATGTTTGATACCCCAATCTAAAAAAAATGGAAGGGAGGAATGTAGATTTTGAGACGGCATGACAGTTAACTAAACCTTAAGAAACTTTCCCTAGTGTAAATTATGTTGTTTTAATCTGAAGGTCTTGATCTCTATCTTCAACTTTAATCCATTAAAATTGTTACTAGAGAATTGTTATGTTTCAGTAACTTAATAAATCTTTTTTATATAAAAAAAAGTGCAATGTCACCACTTGGGAATAAACGGCTGAGGAGAAATAAAGATGAAAAAAATAATGAGTCTGGTGATATTAGTGGAGATTCTTCTCATTTTAGAATATAAGCACTTCTTAGAATAATCAATTAACAGACAACATTTTTTCATGACATGTGAGTCTCCTAGTTCAAACAGAAAACCTTTCTTTGCCAAGCTGGAGATTAGACCACTTTAGACCACTATATGTGTATTTTAAAAAGCATTCTTCACAAAGGTCCAAAAGAGATCTGAAATAGAGCATGTAGCTATCTTTCAAGTGAGACTTTATTTTGTTAAAAATCATAAGTGTTATAAGAATTCCTTTTTCTAAATTTTCCCTAAAAAATGATTTTTTTCAATCTTTAATGAAGACAAAAAAAGGTTCATTCTTGTTTTTCTGCTACCACCTTTTCCTTCTTTCCTCCTTATTGTTACTTTTCAGTGGTAATTTTTAAAATTAGTGTTTTTAAAAGCTTTGAACTGAAAATGTATGCAAATGTTTAAGAAAATTGCAACTTCTTGTTGATTTCCACCCAACCATTAGCCAGAAGCAGCAGCAGAGATATATATTTTTAAGTGAAACTAAAGTCATCAACAGATATAAAACAGACCTCTGCAACTCGTGCAACTCAACAGGGATATAAAGTAACAGAAAGTCAGGAATGCATTGAATTGGGATTGTGTATGGTTTTGGAAGCAAGCAAAAAGACCACAAATAAAGAAGAATTTTGCAGGGAACGAATACCTGGTTTTAAAGTCAATGGGGTAACAATTCCAGCCCAAGAGGCATGACACTGGCAGAATTTAATATTGGGAAAAGAAATGCCTTAGTTGTAGCCTTGCCTTGTCTTGAGAAGGAGCTTTCACACACATGGACAGCTGGCTCTGAGACTAGAAGTTCTGCCACCCAACCTGGGAGGCCTGTGTTCCTCTTACCTCTTCTTCTGTGTATGGAGATGCCTTTTGGGTACTTGGGAAAAATACTTGATTTTTAAATTAATTTAATTGTCTCCCCAACCTCCTGAGCTGAAAGTGGAAATTGAAGAAAGGCTGGGGAGAAGATGCTTCATATCTGAAAGTCCAGACGGAAAGCAGGGTAGGGAGTAAGGGTTTTCTTGATAGCCAAAAAGAAAACTGGAAAAAGGGCCTAAAGAGAAGGAAAAATGGATAGGGAAAGCAGGAACTGACTGCTCTGGTAGCAGTCATGCTAGTCTCCTAACTGGCTCTTTGACTACATGGAGAAGTCTCAAGATAAGTGTCAGGGCTGCTGGCAGTGAAATCCTGAGAGAAGAGATGAAAACTTCTGTATAATCGCCACATCACACAAATAGCACAGCAGGAGACAGTAAAACTAGACATCATGGAAACACTCAGCACACCCTCAACAATGCTTCAATTATCCTCATGTCTGATTCAAGTCATTCCTTCCCCCCACAGACTCAGAAAGGATCAACCCCAAAAAACTTCTCACAGTACTTACCTCACTAATAGATTTAACGATTTAAGGTTTGCTCTCTGTTGATGCTGGACTAAGGTTTTATTACTGTGCTGTTTACCAGTGTGTACTTTGCTTAGCCTCATAAGAACAAGTTCACCTTTTATCCTCTTCATGGCAGCATACCTCAGGCGATATGATTACATGGTGTTTTATACCTTCAGAGCACTGTGCAAACACTGCCTGAATAGGGACGTGAAGCCAAATGCTTTGCTCAGTTACTCTCATTCAAGCTCGCTGAATGATTGGAAAATGATGAGAAAGGTAAACGTTTGTTTTCTCTTTCACTGGATCAAATCCTGCCCTTATGTAACCTATGCACATGCAGGCTCTACTCCCTTGATTCTATTTTGATCTAACCCGAGTAGTAAATTATAGGCATTTGCACTAAAAAGGCATCCTTCTCACTGTTCATTGACTGTTTTCTTTTCTTAGGGGAACCAATAACATGGCATTAATTCAGATAATTCAGGGCTAAGATGAGGTCACTGGGACAAATGAGTAACTGCATAACTACACAGTCTCTTTTTAAATAATTTGGTGAACAATTTAAGGTGGCTTACCTTTTGGATGGATATTCTGCAAAGGTCCAAGTTTCTTCTACTATGTAAACAGCAGGAACAGCACAAGTCTATATCTGAGGGGTTTTGTAGTGCTCCCAGTAGGCATACAGAAATATGAACTACTTGTTGGAATGATTAATCGACCCAGTCTACTTACTTCTGTAATAGACTTGACAAAGCGGATTCCATCATTAGCTCCTTTGACTTTAGCCAGACAGTCACAGAAATAATCCCAGTAGTCTTTCCTGTTCCCCAGCAGCGTGGTCTTTTCTTTCTGGTCAAACTTGGATGGAAAAAACCATCGTGGGTAAAACCTGAAGTCACTGAAATGCACATGGCTATACTGATATCAAGTTCCTCTTGCATGAGTATTCACATTCACTGTATCAGTGAGATCTGGTGAATCTGAATGTTGTACCGTAATTCACAATATAAATCAGAATCCTCAGCTTAATTAGAGAACAGCCATCCAAACCCATTCAGAATTACGTTAGCCGAGTGCTGAGATCTACTATCACTCCCAAAATAATGTCTTGTACTAGTGTGGGTGAACACAATCAGTAAAAACTACCTAAAAGAGGCATATAAATCCACACTGCTCAAGATGAAAGCAAAAAGCTTTTTTGAAATGACATGTCCATGGACGAAAAGGGAGCAATCCCTAAAATTATGAAATGAATTAAATCATCTGGAAAAAGAACTGTATGACAGTGATTCAGTCTCTGTCTCCACTAGGGCTAGGTGCCTGGCTAGTTTGGCTATCAACAGTGAAGCTACAGAGGGATTGTCTACAGTGTGGGCTCTAAAAACCCCACCTGTGATCCCTGGCACTTATTCAAATTATTTTGCACAATAATGTCAATCAAAAACCTATGTTATTCAGGTCATTACAGTTACACTATTAGGGATAGCTAGATATACTTATCTTGCACTAAAAACTCTCACAGACCTTATTATGAAAAGTTCTGTATGCTAGCATAACATGGTGCGTTTCCAAAGCCAAGTGAAAAAGCCCCTTAGTGCAAAATTCCTTGTATTTTCAAAGCAGGTTGCCGAATAAAAAACATTACAACAGATACAATAAGCACTGGCCTGCACTTCAACGCAATAACTAAAAGGAAGATGGCTTGTATTGTGATTGCTCTAATACATTCTGATTTTTTTACTGCTATCTAAATACTGAATCTTAAAGGAACATAAAAAAGACAGAAAACTCCTCAGCAGATCTGACAGAGGAAGTAGCGCATGTTGCTTCTTACCTGTAAAAGGTACTCAAGCTTGTAGGAAAATTTTTGTAAGTTGATGCTGTCATCTGTGATTGGCTCCCCTCCTTCTTTAAATTCTTTGCTTAACTCTGTCACAGCATCTTTAAAACAAGACACCAGAACAAGTAACTAAAGAGAGATGTTTGGCATACCCAAGTAACTTTAAACCAATAAATGAACACATGGCTTGCTTCTCTACACAGTGCATATGTGTTCTTTTTCTTTCAGTCAGAGCATTTGAATGAGACTGCAGAATTTTGCTGCTCTGATCACAATCCCATGCTGAGCAAAGCAAAAAGTTACAGTTCAGTGTTAATTTGTAATATTGTTTTATTTCTCTTGCATACATAGCTAGTTAATAATATTTAGCAACCCCACCCTCCCAGAAGCTGCTGTAGAAAGCAAACCAACTGTAAAATGCTGAAAACCTCAACGCACATTTTCCCCCTGTTGCTTTTATGGAGGAAGGAATTTTTTCCAATCTTTATGAACATCAGTGGCTACTAGTCTGCAGGGCCAATGAGAATTCTGGCGAATGTAAGCTGCTGAAGAAGATCAGTGGTTCAGTAACAAGAACAGTCATTTGGTCAGCACATTTATCTCCTCAGTGTTTTATTCTGGAAGGTTTAGAGTGCCCTTGTTACAATACACAAAGGGGGGAAAAACATATTTACAAAACTAGAAACAAACAAAATAACCCCCGGTCCTATCTGTAAAGCTCTGCTGATTCAAAGAATCCATCAATCTCAGCAGCTTCTCTTCAACTAGCATCACCAATGACTGATTTTATCGTGTTCTCTATCCCCCCCGAGGGCTTGACCAGGCTTTAGGTCCCCAGGCCAGATTCATTAAACTGTTTGAGGCTAAGTAGGATAATCCTTTCTTGCTGCAAATCAAATAGGGTCTCTGTGCTGAGTTCCAGCTTTGCTATATAATATATCTTTGCTTTTTCCTCATTTGAAGTGCGAAAGGCAGATGGCTGGGCAGAGTGGCACCTCAGGGCATCTTTACATGTGTGAGGGTGGGGGGTTTCAATTAAAGCAGCTCTCAGGAGCCACTCTAATTAAAGTGCCCACAGACTCTCATATATTCAGTGTCCTGTACTTCAAAATGGTGGTGGGGGCACTTTAACTAAAGCTTGTTAGCTATTCTGAAGCGTGGGCACGCTGAATACATGTGACACAGAGGCTGCTGGAGGGTGCTAATTAGCATGCTTCAGCAGACTTGATTAATCAAGTCTGCTCCAACATGTGTTAATTAACATGTGTCGGAGCAGGGCTTGGGCACATGTACCTTCAGAGACTAACTGGTTAAGAGAAGTATAAGCTTTCATTGGTGATGGAGACCATCACGTAAAAAAAGCATACAGCTTTCCGAACCTGTTAGTTAAGGTGCCACCTCTCCCAGGGCAAAGGCAGCAGGGCACAGAGGGCATCCTGTCTCTGCCGCATGCACAAATCCAGGGGCACATGCCCCCCATGCCTCCCCCAGGGGTGTGCGCAGTGGCAGGGAGCTGTGCCCCCTCCTCCCCGGATAAGCTGCCTGTGGCTCTGTCATGATCTGCCCTGACCCCAGGGTCCTATTCATCCCCTGCCCCTGCCTCACTCCCTCCCTCACTGTGGGGGCCTCGATCTGCACCCCCAATACCCCTTCCATCTCCCCCTGCTCCTTCTCCTTCCTCCTGCTGCTGCCCCTCCCTCCTGACCCATAGTACCCCACATCCTGCCAGGCCATGCAGGGATCCCCCCTTCCCAAGCTCCAGACCTGCCTGCTCAGACCCCACAGGCTCCAAACCCCATACACACACCAACAGCCTCCCACAGCTTCACAAATTCCACCCCCCCAACCATACAAAGTACCTGCATAATTTTGCATAATTTTGAGTTTTTAGCTGTGTGATTAAAATTGTAATTAATTAAGACTAATTTTTTTAATCTCACAATTAATCATGATCAATTTTTAAAATTGTTTGACAGTGCTAACTGGTAGGCCTGTGTGAATAGGGCAGTATTCGATTTGGATTTGGCCGGTTCAGAGGACAGTGATTTGATTTCGAGATTCGGATCACTGTCCCAAATCGATTGGCGCTGATTCGGAGAGATTCGGCCAGAGCCTATAATGGGGAATCACTGAAATAGCTATAATGTTGTCATTTTTTGACAGATTTGGATGAAAACAGCAGGGATGGTAGCTCCTTCTGGGTGCATGAGGCCTGTCAGGTTTCAAGGAGATAGATGCAGGGGTTTCTGGGAAGCTGCACCTCAAGCTTCTGAAAGCAAAACTCCTGACATGTGACTGTATGTGTGTGTTAAGGGGCAGCGGGGTGAAAACAGCAGGGATGTTAGCCTGTAACAGGGGGCCTTCCTGGTGCTCAGGCAGAAACAGCTCACAAAAAGGACAGAAAGGCTGCAGACAGAGACTTATATGCGGTTTCTAAGTCCCTCTCCCAGAGCACTGTGATTGGAAGGGGACTCAGGGAAAGATCACAGTCACTGGACAGCTACAGATGTCAGTCTTCCCCCGCCCACTCCCCCTCCCTCTTCTCAGTTTCTGTTCCCCTGAAAGACTGCTTTCTGAATCTCCAAGTCTTCTCCTGAATCTTTTCCAAATCGATTTGGAGGCTCCAAATTGATTCAGAGGTAATTTTTGGTCTCCCGATTCAATTCGGATTTGGTGATTCGGCCTTTGAATCAGGCCGAATCTTCTCTGAATCAAATCGGCGACTGAAGCTTCGATACACCCCTACTAACTGGAATCTTTCCACACCATCCTCCTGTCTCATTTCCCCTGAGATGTCTTATGAAATAGTGGCTAAAGATGCTCATTTTAATCATATTAATAAATAACAATTTAAATTGTAGAACTATTGTAGTTATTGACCGTTTATGGTCACATATTGACAGCATATATTATTTTGCATGCATACAGCACTCCTTGATTGGAGGAATATTATTTAATTCACTTACTGGAATAGAGGGATGTTACTAGTGAAGTTTCTTGAGGATCAGTATTGGGCTTAATATTATTTAACATTTTTATTAACAGCACTGGGACAAAAAGTATGAATATGCTAAGGAGATTTTCTGATGACACAAAGTTGGGAGGCACTGTCAATATAGAGGAGGACCAGGATATCTTCCAGAAAGAATTGGATGTTCTTGAAGACTGAATTTACAGAAAAGGGATAAAACAGCTATACAAAATGCAAGGTTATGCACATCGGAACTAATAATATTGGTCCTCGTCTATTAGAAACAGGGATGATGAAAGACCTGGGTGTATAAATCACAGGGTGACTGGAAGGCACAAATATTATGAGACCACAAAAAAGGCAATTGCAATCCTGGCTTATACGAGGCAATCCTTGCAGAGATAGGGACATATGAATGGACTATCTAGTACATCTAGAGCTTTATATATTCCATTAGTCTAGGAAATCATGTATAATTTTATTCAACCACATTCAAGAAAGATTCATTCAAGCTGGAATACTAAAAGGCTTGGCTTGTTCAACCTAGCAAAATGAAGAGTGAAAGGGAACAAATACCCATAAGTAAAGAGCTGTTTAAATTAGACAGTATCAGCACAAGGACAAATAAGTATTAATAAATAAATAAAAGTAACAATGAATAAATTCAGGAGACAAATTAGAAGAATGTTCCTAACTATCAGAGGATCTAAAATAGTTTTCCAACAAGAGAAGTGAGGGGAATAACCCTAACTGATTTGAAGATGAATCTTTATACATTCATGTGGTTACCTGCATTGGCAGGACTCCAAACTAGCAAGCCTTTTTTAGTTTTATGTCCTACACTTTTGAGCACTGACAACACCTCCAATGAAAATACGATCATTTTTGAGATAAGGAAACTGAAGGACAAAAATACTGTCCAGTGATTTAAGGAGCTCCAAGTTTTTTTAGGAGTATTGAGGAGGACAGTTTCATAGTTTCATAGTTGGTAGGGTTGGAAAGGACTTGAGCAGATCATCAAGTCCGACGCCCTGGCATGGGTAGGAAAGAATGCTGGGGTCAAATGACCCCGGCTAGGTGATTATCTAGCCTCCTTTTGAAGACCCCCAGGGTAGGAGCGAGCACTACTTCCCTTGGAAGTTGGTTCCAGCTCCTAGCCGCCCTGACTGTGAAGTAGTGCTTCCTGATGTCTAGCCTGAACCTACTCTCAATTAACTTGTGGCTGTTATTCCTTGTTACTCCTGGGATCATCTGGGCTTGATTTTCAGAGATGCTTTAACATCTCTGATTAGAATGCATTGGAGCAGACTCATCTTCTCCCCTTGCTGCTGACACCACCGGCGGCATCTGCGGGCAGACCCCAATTGCAGTCGCCTGCAACCTGCCCCCCTCCCCCGCCCCTGACAGTGCTGAGGCTCCCTGTGGGACCTCACCACTCGTTGCTGCCATGCTTCTGCCACCTCCAGCACCACCACCGCCTGCAGAAGCTCGCCATGCCCGCCCAGCCTCCAGGGTCATGCGGCATTCATGGGCTTGATTAATCGAGCCTGCTGGAGTGTTCTAATCACAATGCTCCAGTGTGCTGCAGCATCTTGTGTATTCACCTTCCTGCATTTCAAAACAGTGGCAGTGGTGCTTTAACTAAAGATCATTGAACAAGCTTTAGTTAAAGCGCTTCCACCATTTTGAAGTGCGGGATGCTGAATACAAGAAGCTGCAGGTGTTTTAATTAGAGCAGCTCTCCAGAGTCACTCTAATTAAAATGCTACCCCCCACCTTGGAGCACATGTATAGGTACCCACAGTGCTTATAAAAAGTAGGCCAAGAGGCATCTCAAACCTGACATCCAAAACTATTGTTTAATTTTGAAAATGTCTTAGCTCAAGTCTGAACAGGAAATCTGTGACAAACATGGGAAAACAGCAATGACTTCCAAATGTATTTGCGTCTTATCCACAAAACCATCTTTCGTAGCTCTGTCTCCTGACACCCGTATTTGATTACTCAGGCAAAATTTTCCCTGTCTTCTCTCCCATTCTTCCCTACCTTTGGAGGCCTAACTTCATTGTTTGAATAACATTTTTGTCCCTGTGAATATCTGTGATCCATAAACATGGAAAAGAAAGTTCTGATTTCTCACTTACATTAATTTTACAGGACTGTCTCTCTGCTCATTTTACTGGAGATAGTCCAGATTTATACCAGTGGAAGAGAAGAATCCTGCCTACTGTTTGCAGAGACAGCGAGTCCTAATCCCACAGGGGATGTTTTTCATTGTAAAATTGATACAGTACACAATTTGAGATCCTAAATAAAGCAGAGTAAATTTCATGCAGAATATGAGATCAGAGTTACATCAACACTGAACAAACATAAGTCTCAAATGTCAAATTATAAATGCCACGCACAGATTTCAGACAATTATAAACAAACCAACCTCATGCCCCAATAGCGAAAACATGAGGAATGCAGACTGGCCTGTAAAATCAAGTCTGCCAACAGGCAGTGTACCTTGCAAATCCCGGATAATCCTCTGTAGCTGGCTTTCTCCACTGGTTGCTGCCATCATGAAAACCAGAGGGGCTGCAAGCCTATGATGTTATACTTTTCATCCATCTACAAAGAAACAGCAGATTCCACGTCCATGATGACCACTCAGCTGGTAAAGATCAGTCTTCTTTGTAGCATCTGAAGCTCTGGAAGTAGAAGATCTCCTTTATATATAATCTGATACTAATAGTGCATCCATGCTCAGTTGTGGCACTTCAGATTTTTAAATCACATTTATTAAATGGGTTTCTGTAAAGCTGGTTTCCCCCTAGCAGCCCTAACTTACTCCTTTCTTTCTAATTTAACCTTTGCTTTCAGGGTTTCTCTGTTTCCCCCTTCCTCCTATTATCAAAGTTATCCAGGCAATTTGGGCAACAAGTTTCACCCCCTCAACAGAGCTACAACAGAGGCTCCTCTCACTGGCTGCTCCAACCTGGTATTCTAGACAGTTGGGTTTCTGATCCAAGGGAGTTTCTGATTACATGATTGTTTCCCTGCAGGAACTCTATGCTACTCCACTTCTATGTGAGAACACTATTATAAGCATATTTATTTCCCTCTAGTGAGCCTCAGCTTTACTAGCCACAATACCAAGAATGACCAATTCTGCCCTAAGTGAAATAAGGTCTGATTCCCTCCTCTGAGATCACAGGACACTCCTAGTCTGATATGCTCAAATCACTGATAACTGTTGCAGTCCAAAAACTCAAGGCAAGTCTGGTCAGATCTTAGTATATCCAGTTTCCAGTCTGTGTAAAGTAGGTGTGTCAAACATACAGCCTGTGGAGCCTGTGTCCAGCCTGCCGGGCTGACGATAGGCCACTGGATGTTGCAGGGCATGGCCTGCTGCAAAATTCTGGGCCCCTTGGCTCTGCTGGCCATGGCTTTCAGTGGTGAGCTCGGCTCATGGCTGCCATCCTCAGACTGTCACTCTGCGCCTGGGCCTCATCCTCAGGACTTCTCACGGTCCTCAGTCCCTGCACTGCCCCTGGGCCTGCCACCGCTGCACTGGCCATGGCAGTGACCCCTGTGCCTGAGTTGGATCCAGCCTGCAAGGAAGCCTGAGGTTCATATCCAGCCTGGGCCCCCAGGTGAGTTTGGCACCCCGATGGAAAGACTAACATGTTATTTTAAGTTTGCATAGCATCCCTGGATGATAGGGTTGGGGTTTTTTTTTTTAAGTATCCAACTTTCTGCTCTGGTCATAATGACACGTGAATCATAAAAATGGTACATGCAACACCTCGCAGAACTTTTCATCCATAGATATTAAGCCACTTTACAAAGGCAGATAAGCACAAAGGGTCAGATTTGCTTGGTGTCTTAAACTGGGGACAAATTCCTAAAGATCTCACCTTCTGTTTCGGCACCAAGCTAAAGGCCAGCTTCTCAAAAGAGCAAATAGTAGCTCCAATGGTGACACTTACAGCCAGATTTTCCAAACAGCTCAGCACCTAAAATGCTGAAGTTTTTGAAACTCTGACACCATATGGATATATTTTAATATATAACAATAAGGAGTTTAAGTATAACAGCACCTCAAACACTGGTGTTAGCCAATTAAACAAGTGCACAAATTGATAACAGTCCTGGTTATCCAACCCCCCCTTGGAAAGTACATGCCGAAAAGTCATTTGGGTAGCTGAATTCATTGGGATAAGTGAAGCAGTTGCTGTAACAAACCTAAGAGCAGAGATACAGGATTGCAACAGGGTTCCTTGGCACACAGAGCTAAGACCAGAGCTCAGAGACAGCTGAGTGGAGAATGGGGCAGGGAGAAGTGTGTCCTACTAGGACACAGGAAATATGGTCATTATACACCAGGGGTCAGCAACATTTTTGGGCAGACTGCCAAAGACACCCGTGACCTCAACTTGTAAGATGTTGGCGTGCCAGGGGTGGATGGTGGGGGAGCCACGAGGGGCCCAATCCTTGTTGTGACAATGCAGCCCTAGCCCCTTTGCTGCCGTTTGCCCTGAGGCACGTGCCAAGCAAAATGCCTTTGAGTGCCACACTCTGGCACCTGTGCCGGGGGTTGCCTACCCCTGCTATATATACCCTGTAGTAAATAAAGCTTTACAAAGAACAAAATCATGCCCCAACAGTTACAAATCAGTTACAAGTTACAATGCTTCAGACAACATTAGAGTACAGAAGTACTGTACTAGATAATGCTGAAGACAACAGTTTGTTATGCGATACCAAAAGTTGAAAGTTAGGGTTTTTTTTAAGTTGTCATTTGAATAGCCAAGGGTTCAGACAACTGAGGATGTGCTGCAATTTTTCATTCTTAAAATGCCTAGAATACCTAGACAGAAAAAGTCCAGAAGGTATTGGAAGAATTCAGATCAGTCACAGTGTTGACGTATGCGTCAATAACTTGTTTGTGAAGGTTGGTCCTACGACCAGCACTCTGCCATTGTGATACAAGACAAAGGAACTTGAAAACAAGCCTTAACAGAACAGACAGACAAAATACATTAAGAAAAGGCTAAACATCTTGTGAGGGCATTTCTCATAATAGCCAACTTTTGTCATCTATTGCTTTCTACTGCCATGCTTTGATGTCACTAATAGGGCTGTGTGAGGCTTCAGACTGTGCTTCAGATCTGGAGAAGCTTTGGATGCTTTGGTGTCTGAAGCAGCATGTTCAGATCGAAGCACTGGCTTCTTTAGGCTTTCCAAAGTGATTTGGAGCTTCTGAACCATTTCGGAAAAGCTTCGGAGTCACTTCAGAGATCCGGCCATAAGGTATAATAGGGAATCAATTAAATAGCTATAACCTTGTTGTTTTTTGTATGATTCAGATTAAACTTGCAGGAGTTGTAGCCTCTGTTGAGACCACGAAGCATGCCAAGTTTCAAGAAGATTGGTGCTGGGGTTTGGGGGGGAACTGCACCCCAAATTCTTGAAAGCAAAACTCATGTCACGTGTATGTGTTACACCATAGGGAGGTGAAAGCTGCAGAGGTGGTCACCCCTGCTGAGGCCATGAAGCCTGCCAAGTTTCAAGGTGATGGTTGCAGGGTTTGAGGGGAACTGCACCTCAAGCTGCTGACAGGCAAACTTGTGACACAGATGATCCTGTGTGTGTTAAGGCGCAGCAGGATGAAAACTGCAGGGGTGGTGGCCCCTGCTGCGGCCACAAAGCCTGCCAGCTGTCGAGGAGATCGGTGCAGGGCTTTGAGGTTCTGGGCTCTACACTTCTAGCTGCTGACAGACAAAACTCATGACATGGGTGCTTGTGCAACTGTGTCTGTTCTGGGGCAGTTGATTGTCTGTATTGATTATTTCCTCTCTTTAGTCCGTGGTTTTGTAGGTGTTAATGAGTTAACGAGCAATGATTAACACCTACAAAACCACAAGGTGAGGAAATAATCAAAACCACTAAGGTGAGGAAATAATCAATACAGACAATCAACTGCCCCAGAACAGACACAGTTGCACAAGCACCCATGTCATGAGTTTTGTCTGTCAGCAGCTAGAAGTGTAGAGCCCAGAACCCAGAAGCCCTGCACCGATCTCCTCGACAGCTGGCAGGCTTTGTGGCCTGAGCAGGGGCCACCACCCCTGCAGTTTTCAGCCCATTGCGCCTTAACAGGAGTTTTGCTTTCAAGAATTTAGGGTGCAGTTCCCCCCACACCCCTGCACCAATCTTCTTGAAACTTGGCATGCTTCATGCTCTCAACAGAGGCTACCACCCCTGCAAGGTTAATCCAAATCAGACAAAAAACAACAAAGTTATAGCTATTTCATTGATTCCCCATTACAACCCATGGCTGGATCTCTGAGGCGGCTCCAAAGCTTTGGAGCCGCTTCGGACGGATCAAAGAGGGAACCCCGTCTGGAGCTCCGGATCGGATTGCTGACATCTGAAGCAGCCAGATCCAAAGCCAGATCAAATAGCTGCCTACTCGCACAGGCCTAGTCACTAATTGTTGTGTTATCAAACTGATACATTTTATTGTGTGCTAGCTGGGGATGGGAAGTTGTTTTTCTGAAGGCCCTGGCATACTTGTGACGTTACATAAACAATTCAACAATATATAATAGTTAAGACAAACATATACCTTTGCCACATTGAGCATCCATTATTATCAGGGCAATATAAAAGCTGCAACACCATCAATAAATAAAATGAGTCAGAATGTCTGCCGATGTAATCTGAAGTAGCTGCATCAACGGTAATGGGGCTACGCCAGTTTACATCAACTGAGTTTCTGATTTAGTGCTCTAATTCTAACCTCCTCATGGTATATAACAAGAGCAACTCCAATGAAGCCAAAAACATTATGCCAGCAAAAATCAATGCAAGCCAGAACAGAAGCAAACCAACCTATCTTTTGACATTTGCAGAAAGAGAACAAACCTAGCTTTCATTTCATACTACCAAAATCTTATTCTCATGACTCATATATAATTATTCCTAATGATTGCACAAAATGATATCTCCATGTTTCTTGGTCACTTGGGGAGTTTGGTTAGGGTACATTTAATAACAGAGCATCTTGCTTGCTTGCTTTCTCATCCAAAGCGCACATGCAAAGGGCTGGGAGTCAGGAGACGTGGGTTCCGTTCTAGGCATTGCCACAGTGGTACTGTGCGTTCTGCTGCAAGTCAGTCACATACTTAGCATTTTGTCCTGCATGAAGGTAGAAGATGAAAGGGATCACCAGATGTCTCCTGTCCTGCCCCGATGCAGGGGGCAGCTACAATCACAATTCCAAAGCTCAGGAGGCATGATGCAAAACAATCACTGCAATAAGTATAACAGCAGAAGCCTTTCCAAAGAAGGTACAAAGGACAGAGTCAGACCCCTGTTCTCCCACAGCCAGCAGGAAGCAGCACCTTGTACATCCTGTAGCTGACTCGCCTTGTGACTGCTGAACTCCTGGCTCACTGCTTCTTAAGTTCCAGGCTCCCCAGAGAAGTCTCAGGAGTTTGGGAAAAGGTGCCACAGAGTTGTAGTTTGTCCCTTTTCATGTTTTATCTGTCCAAGGGTTATGCATGGAAACAGAACCCTGAAGCTGAGGGGATGATTTAGCTTGGGTTATTCTCCAAGGGAAGAATCTATTTATATTCCCTTCACTCAGCTCCCCAGGGAGGAATGGGGAAAAGGGGGATAGCTGCACTTCCTATCTCACACG